GGTCCTTCTGTGCAGGGCTGCTCTCAAGGGGCTCCTCCCAGTCTGTATGGATGCCTGGGATTCCTCCATCCTGAGTGCCAAACTCTGCACTTTGCCGTGTTGAATCCCATCAGGTTCACCCAGGCTTTTCACCCCTCAGGACCCCCAGGTCCTTCTGTGCAGGGCTGCCCTCAAGGGGCTCCTCCCAGTCTGTAGGGATGCCTGCAATTCCTCCCTCCCAAGTGCAAAACTCTGCACTTTGCTGTGTTGAACCTCATCAGCTTCACCCAAGCCCAACTTTCCAGCCTCTCGAGGTCCCTCTGAATGGCATCCTGTCCTTCAACCCTGTCTATTGCACCGCTCAGCTCGGTGTCATCAGCAAACCTGCTGAGGGTGCCCTGGATTCCATCATTGATGTCATTGATAAAGATGTTACAGAGCACCAAAACAGACCCCTGGTGGACGCCGCTCACTACTGGACACGGAGCCACTGATGACCACCCTCTGCCTGCAGCCTTTCAACCAATTTCTCATCCATCGAGTGGCCCACCCATCAAACCCACATCCCTCCAGTTTGGAGATAAGGATGCGGTGGGGGACCGTGTCAAAGAGCACTGCTTTGTGTGATGGAAAAGAACGTTGTAAAGAAGGGCAGTGGCAGACACGGCTGCTTTCAACCAGTCTAAGTCACCCACGGGAGGAACAGGGCACAGTGTGGTCAACAAAGAATTGCTTCCAATGGGGCCAGGTTGGATGTGGTTCTGGGCAGCCCGGTCTGGTGGTTGAGGACCCTGCGCACAGCAGGGGGTTGAAACCAGATGAGCATCGTGGTCCTTTTCAAGCCAGGCTGTTCTGTGATTCTATGAGGACAAATGGGACCCTGAGGACGGATCCCGATGGAGGTGGAGGGTGATTGGGGTGGGGGTTTATTGGGGTGAGGGGGTTTTATTGGAGCAGGGGGTCCAGGGGGAGACCCTCAGTCCTCCAGGTTGCGGAAGGCTGCCTGCATCTCCTCGTTGAGCTGCGTGAAGGCAGCTGTGATGTTGGCTTCGCCGTCCTTCACCGGGTCCTGGGGGGGGAAGGGGGGGGGAGGGGGCAGCATCGGTGTCACTCTGTGGGTCCCCTGATTCCCTACGAGTGACCTCTTAACCCCCTATAAATGCCCCCTAATCCCCTATAAGTGTACTCCCAATTCCCTAAGAGACCCCTATAAGCACACCCCCACTACCCTAAGAGTGACCCTATAAGCACACCCCCACTACCCTATAAGTGACCCCATAAGCACACCCCCACTACCCTATAAGTGACCCCTATAAGCACACCCCCACTACCCTATAAGTGACCCCTATAAGCACACCCCCACTACCCTATAAGTGACCCCATA